AACCAGGTCAGTTTTCACTTTCAAGTTTGTAAGAGCACACAGAGACCAGACAGGAAACAGGAATCTGGTGGTGGTAGGTAGGCAGTGGGGGGCCATGAAAGGAGTCTTTGAACAGAAATCCTGTACTGAAAGAGGGATCTGGAGTGGGGTGTGGAGGCAAATGCCCACACTGCAGACAATGGAGCAGGAAAGGCACACGTAGCAGACCAGCTCAGCCTGGGCTGCAGAGTGAGACATGTCTTAAAAATAACAAAAAAATGGTAATTAATTTAAAGGGGGGCATATCCTTTTGTAGGATGAAGGAGTTGTGAGACTGAAGGCTAGCCTGAGTGTGAAGAACACAAAGCATGGAAGGATGTTTGGGCTGAAAGCATCTGAAAGAGAAAAAAAAAAAAAAAACACCAAGATGGCCAGAGGTATACCTGGGAGGCAGGTGGCAACATGGAAGGAGACCAGGCTGCTGGGAGTGAGTTGGGGTTTAGAATCTGTTTTGACGTTTTGACACTGTGGGTCACTGAGTTCATCTAGAGTCCCATGACTAGAGATTAGCAACACAAATGAGTCATTTGGAAAATTAAAAAAAAAAAAAAAAAGACAAAATACATAGGCTGGAGAGATGGCTCACTGGGTTAAAGCCCTTTCCATGTAAGCCCGAGAAACCTGGGTTTCATCCCAGAACCCATATCAAAGCTGGATGCCATTGTATGCATCTGTGATCCCAGCATCCCTACCATGAAGTGGGAGGCAGACACAGGAGAGCTGGCCAGAAGCCAGCCAGCCTGACTTCCACAGCCACCAAAACAGGGACCAATCCTGCCTTTAAAATGAGATGGAAGGTGGAGAGATGGCTTAGTGCTTAAAGTGCTTGCCCCACAGAAGTTTGGATCCACCATATAAATGCCAAATGGCCATGGCGGCCTGCCTGTGACTCTAGCTAGCCCCAGAAGGCAGAGATAGGGGATTCCCCAGAGAAGGATGGCTGGCAGGACTAACTAGGTATAATCAGTGAGCTCTGGGTTTGATTAAGAAACCCTGCCTCAGTAATTAAGGTAAGAGGGTGATCAAGGATAGTCTCAATATTAGCTTAGGAATTGGAAAGGCGGGGACCAACCCCTGAAAGTTGTCCTCTGACTTCCACACACATGCTGTGGCACACGGAGTCAAATGCACTTCGGCACATGAGAGCCTGCAAAAGTCATATACATCATGTTGGCAACAAAATCTGTATTAAGCAAAAAGTTTTGGGCACATTTGGGTGTCACTGTTCCAGTGACATCACATTTGATGTCAGAAAACAGAAAAGAACCCTTTTCTTCTGTCCCACAGAGAAGACAGGCCACCAGAAGCTCCAGGCTCCTGTCCTGCTCTCTGCACACAGGTCTTGGGGTGCCTGTGTCAACCAGGAGTGGGAGACTTGTTCATTTCTCTCCAGCCAGCCAAACCACGTGTGCTTCCCTGGAGCCAGGGGCTGCAGTCAGCTCTGCCCATTCAGAGTTGACCTGGGAAACAGTTCTCTCTACAAGAAAACTGGGCTCTTACTCTCTTACTCTCTTGCCTCTAGCTTCTCCTCGCCCTTCCTCCCTTCCCTTCCCCTCTCTCCATGTGGTCATGGCCGACCTCTACTCCTCTACCTCTCTGCTCTCTCTCTTTTCTTCCATATCTCCTGAATAAACCCTCTCCCCTTTGGAAAAAAAAAGAAAAAGAAAAAGAAAATTGGGAGTGTAAGGAAGAAGTAAAGCTGGGTAGCAGGACTGTAGGGCACTTTAATAAACACATGGGTTCCCACTTAACTGTTCAGTAATGTAGGATGTTTTCATGTTCAGCCAATGCAGCCAGCCATCACAAACTTAAACTATGGCTGTCCTGTATCCAGAAGAAGCAAGCCCACATTCTCATTCCTGCAACCTAGCCAGTCCGAGTAGAACATTGTGCTATGTTTGATTAAGTAATAATCTAGTCTTCAGGGGTTTGGAATCTGGGATCAAGATTGAATGATGAAGAGAAAACTGTATAGCTTTGGTTTTGGCTTTGTTCAGCCAAAGAGGAAAAGGGGGGAAAACACCTAGTCCACAGCCCACAGCTTTGACTAGTAGCAAGGACTCTCTGACCACCCCCAGCCAACCCACCAGTGTTACAGTCCCCATTCTTGGTGCTCTGAGTCCCCCTGTGAGAGGACGGAAGGGAGCCTCTGTTTAGGGATAGAAAAGACACAAACTTAGGGGTAACATATTTTCTAGGCTTTTCTAGAAATGGTCTTGATCTTCGAGAGGGCTTTCTATCACCTTGCCTCCTTTATCCCCAGAATGTTTATCCAAAGCCAGAGACTTCATTGAAAGTTAGAATTCTAGAATCGATTTCGAGATGGTGGTGAGGACAGGGAATCGGAGTTATCTCTTAGCAACAGTCCCCCTGTGTCACCCACTGCCAGAGCCCAGACTTGGGAGGAGGGCTTTAGCCAGGGCCCCCTGCCATGGGGCAATGCAGGCCCCTAGCTCCTTGGTCCCTTCCTACTTAAGCTGAACTACCCTCACCCAGACTGCTTATAATGGACGTTTCCATGGAGAGGACACAGGAGGGCCAGAGGAGTCAAGAGCAGGCAGGCCCCAGGCTGCCCTCCCTCTGAGTTTCCCGCCTCCTCTCTTTGCTTGAGTTCACTTTAGTTTAAAGCTAAGAACTGGCTCTTCATTATCTCTCAGTCAGATTAGATTACTGGCCCCGGGCAGAAAGGCCCTCTCCAGGCAAGCGATCTTCTCCTTCTGCCCTCAGGTTGGCTGAAGCCAATCTTGTTGGATTTTACTGAAGCAGCCATAGCAAAGACCACGACAGCTAACAGCATCCTAACAATTTTCTGATGATGTGGCAGCCTTTGTGGGGACATGGCCTCAGCTCCAGGGGCTGATTTGCTGTTGTGTCAGGGTTCACCATTTTTATGTTTTTTATTTTATTTTATTTTTTGAGGCAAGGTCTTTCTGTGTAGCCTCAGTTGGCTTGGAGCTCTCACTAGGTAAACCAGGCTGGCCTTCAACTCACAAAGATCTGCCTGCCTCTGCTTGCAAAACAGGGTTTCTCTGTGCAGTCCTGGCTGTCCTGAAACTCACCCTGTAGACCAGGCTGGCCTTGAACTTAGAGGAATCCACCTGCCTCTGCCTCTGCCTCTGCCTCCCAGTGCTGGGTTCAAAGGCGTGCGTCACCACCTCCTGGCTGTTCTGACTTGAAAGCCATTTTTTAACAGCTTGGGTCAAAAGCAGTCTTCATAGGAAAACAACTCAACGAGAAGGGGGTTACTTTAGCTCAGAGATCACAGTTCCATCCATCATGGCAGGGAAGTCAAGGCAGCAGGAACTTGCAGCAGCTGGTTGCATTGCAGGATCAGAAAGCAGGGCATTGAAGGCGAGCTGCTGCTCAGTTCTTAATCCATGCACACGGTCCAAGTCCAGGGTCCCTGTCAGAGAATGATGCCACCCACAGTGGGCAGTTTTTTCCACCTCGACAACTGAAATCAAAATTCCCCAGTGACCCATTTCCCAGATGATTCTAGATTCTGTGAAGGAGATAATTATCACTAATCATCACAGGGCGAGGGAGATGGCTCAGTGGGGTAAAGGTGCATAGCAGGTAAAGAACATTACCACAATCCTGACAGCCCAACCTCCAACCTGGATCCCATGTGGTGGGAGGAAAGAACTGACTCACAGCTTGACCTCTGACCTCCACACATGTGCCATGGCATGATCACCCATCCCACCCACACAAAATAAATGAACTAAGTGTAAAGGGATAAAAAGCCACTTAACTACCATAGGGCTTAGCCTATTATCTGAAAAAGGAGTCTATCTGTCTCTAATTTCTCAGTTAAGATGTTTTCCCCTAGTACAAGGAACAAGAAAAAAGGGGAGTTGATCATTTGCCCCAGTCCACATGGATGGACTAAAAAAGTGGGAAAGGCAGACTCTCCAAGATCCAGGCAGAGTGCTGATCTAAGGAGGACTAGGTCCTGGGTGGCCGTGGGATGTCTCTCTATCGGTGAGGAAATGGCAGAATGCAGGCAGAAGTCTGGAACCCATCAGGAGGGAGGGGTAGAGCTGAGAGTAGCTTCAAGGTGTGAGTCAGTGGAGGCAGAGAGAGGCCATGGGGCTACCACACAGAGGCTGGAATCGATTAAGCACAGAAAGTCACAAAACCCAGAGGAAAATCACCGTCTTAGTGGGGTTTGATTGCTGTGAAGAGACACCATGACCAATGCAACTCTTTGAACCTCAGTTCCAGAGGTTTAGTGCTTTGTCATCCACGGTGGGGAACACAGAAGCTTATTGGCAGACATGGTGGAGATGGAGCTAAGAGTTCTACCTCTTGGTCCATACACTGGGCATAGCCTGAGCATGTAAGACCTCAAAGCCCACCTCCACAGTGACATACTTTCTCCAAGGCCACACCTACTCCAACAAGGTCCTAATAGAGCCATTCTCTATGGCCTTGAGTCTAGGGGACTGTTCCTATTCAAACCGCCACATCCGCCCCGGGCAGTATCATGGCAGCCTATGGACAGATAAAGTGGACAAAGATCTTGACGACAACTGCACTGTCCTCCGAGGGAGCATGAAGCCTGAATTCAGGCAGTTAAGAAAGGAAGTCAGTGAATCTAGAAGTCACAAGATGGGGAAGGGTGAGAAGCTGCAGGTGGAAGGATGGGTGGCTCACTGCCAGGAATGATAGGAAAGGTAATGGGGCCCTTGGAGGGAAGGGCAGGAGCTCCCTGAAAGCCAGTGTATCCAAGTTTGAGGAAAGGACATCAGTGCCTGGAATGGCGGCATGGAGCAGTGCCACCTACAGCATCATAGCTGGGCAAGCATCTTGGTCTCTACAACTTAGTTCTAGGGGTTTACTGGTCTTCATAAGACGAAAATTACCTGTTTGAAGATCTTAGATGTCACATACATGAGCTAGGGCACTCATAATACCCCAGGGTTCATGCACATGTCTGGACGATTTTATCTACATAGGTATACATAAACACAGCCCTGATAGAGCTACAGAACATTCTCAGTAGCATACAAGGTTCCTTCCTGCACCTTCCCAATTCATGAAGCCCTCTGGAAGAGCCCCTTGCTCTGATGTGTGCTTGGTCTTGCCTTCCAGCTCTGGAATCCTGCAGTGTATTTATTCAGTTTGGCTTCTTTCCTGTAATACTAAAACATTCATCTGTTGTTATGGATACTGGTTTCTTTGTCACTACAGAGTAGCAGTACATTATGAATAGACTAAAGTCAATCCATTCTGCTTTCTTGCTTGGGATCTTAACTCTGTAACATTTGGCAGTTCACCTGCCTTGGCCTACTAAGTGCTGGGATTAAAGACATGTGCCTGGGTTCCACTCTGCTGTTGAAGAGTGCTTGGGCTCCCCTCACCCCAGGATGGGAATCCTTACAATTATAAAATAATTATTTCTTTAAGCCAGGCATGGTGGCTCATGCCTATAATCTTAGCACTTGAGAGGCTAAGAAAAGTAAATCCTTTAAAGTTTGAGGCCAGCCTGAGCTATATTGTGAGTTCCAGGAGTTTAGGGATTAAGACCTTGTTTTAAACAAACAAAAAACTTGGTAACAACAATAATTCATTCTCATTTCTATGAGGCAGCATCTCATGTAGCTCAGTCTAGCTGTACCTATGCATGTAGTTGAGGATAATCATGACTGTCTCATCCTCCTGGATTCCCCTCCCAAGTGCTGGGATTACAAGCACCTGCCCCATTGGCAAACTATTTTTTTTAAATCAAACATTCCCTAAATTTTTAAAAAATCATTTTAATTTATTTTTTTATGTATGAGTGCCTGCATCTATGTATGTGTGTCTTGTGCTTGCCTGGTGCCAGGGACGTCTGAAAAAGTTAACAGATCCCTGGAAGTCGAATTAGAATGGTTGGGAATCATTTGTGTGCGTCTGGGAACCAAACCCAGGTACACTGGGAAAGCAACAAGTGCTTTTAACTGCTGAGCAGTCTTCTCCACCCTCTGAAAACAAATATTAATTAAAAACAAACAAACCCAACTACTTAGGCCTAGTAACCCTAGCACTTGGAAAGCAGGAGGCCAGTGGCTATTGGCTGTCTCTGGCTCTTCCATCCTGGACACGTCAATTTCCCCGCTGAATGGGGTACAGGGTTGCTGGACCTGGGAGTAGCGAGTAGGAGCAGGGCTAGCAAGCTGCTGAGCTTCATTTTCTCTCTTCTAGCCTCCGGGGCCCTGGCTGTTGGTGAACTGAGCCTCCTTGATCTCGCAGGCCGGGCCCACCCGCGGCCTCCCATGAGCGCGCCCGGCTGACCCTGGAGGCGGCCGCGGTGGAGCCGGCGCGCCCCGAGGGCGGCGGGGCCATGGCCTCGCTGGACCTACCATACCGCTGCCCGCGCTGCGGGGAACATAAGCGCTTCCGGAGCCTGTCGTCGCTGCGCGCGCACCTGGAGTACAGCCACACCTACGAGACGCTCTACATCCTCTCCAAGACCAATAGCATCTGCGACGGCGCGGCCGCTGCTGCAGCTGCTGCAGCCGCAGCCTCTGGCTTCCCGCTAACACCTGAGCCCGCCGCCCTGCTGGCTGTCCCCGGGGCCCGGCGCGAGGTCTTCGAGAGCACCTCCTTCCAGGGCAAGGAGCAGGCGGCAGGGCCGGCGCCCGCGGGGCCGCACCTGCTGCACCATCATCACCACCACGCGCCACTGGCACACTTCCCCGGTGACCTGGTGCCCGCCAGCTTGCCCTGCGAGGAACTGGGCGATCCAGGGCTCGTGCCCGCTGCGCGATATGCGCTACGCGAAATCGAAATCCCACTGGGAGAGCTGTTCGCGCGCAAGTCCGTGGCATCCTCGGCCTGCTCGACGCCGCCACCCGGACCTGGCCCTGGTCCTTGCTCCGGGCCCGCTTCTGCATCGCCAGCGTCGCCATCACCTGCGGACGTCGCCTACGAAGAGGGCTTGGCACGCCTCAAGATCCGCGCCCTGGAGAAGCTGGAGGTAGACCGGAGACTAGAGCGGCTGAGCGAAGAGGTGGAGCAGAAGATCGCAGGCCAGGTGGGTCGGCTACAGGCCGAACTGGAGCGCAAGGCGGCAGAGTTGGAGACTGCACGACAGGAGAGCGCGCGCCTGGGACGCGAGAAGGAGGAGCTGGAGGAGCGTGCATCTGAGCTCTCGCGCCAAGTGGACGTGAGCGTGGAACTGCTGGCTTCACTCAAGCAGGATCTGGTGCATAAGGAGCAGGAGCTGAGCCGCAAGCAGCAGTGAGTAGGCCCTGAAGGTCCAGCGGGTGGGTGTCCGTGGATGTCACACACTTATCGCCACATGTGTCTGGGGTGTCTCCTTGTGTCCAGGCTTGGAACATAAGTTTTAAGATGAGTCCGTGATGGTAATGTCAGTGGGTTCAAGAATGTCGTGGTGGTGATTTGGGACCTCTGAGTATGTGGTATTGGGACCTTGTGCCCACCCTTGAAAAGTGTTTCTTCACCTTTGATACCCAGGCCAGGCAGCACTTGCCTTTTTGTACCAGATCTTTCCCATTAGCCTACTGGCCCAGTTCTCCGTGTCTTGTACTTCGTGAAAGCAACCAGCTACAACTGCATCCCTTCCATAAAAACAGAAGAGGGACCATAAACTGGCTTCCTCTTGGCCTTCGGCCTCTGTGCTCTTGCTTTCTTGAAGGCCTTTCCTGTATTTCTAGTTCCTTCTTGAGCCTACTCACTGGGGTCAGGTCGCCACTTCCACCATCAGCCACTATGTCATCAGCAAACTTCGAGTTCCTCGTCTTCCCGGATCCATCTACAGCACCTGACAAGACTCCTCCCTCTGTAGCCCTCGCTGCCTTTGAACTCATGATCCTCCTGCCTCTGCCTCACTGGTATTACTGCTCCAGGCACCACCACACTTAGCTTTCCTCTCTCTTTGTTCCTTTTCAGTCATCTTTTCTGGCTTCCCTTTTGTTTCTCTAGTCTCAAAGGGAGCCTTAGGGACTGCATAGGGTCAGACATTGTGCTTGTCGCTATTGTCACATAAGTTCAGGCCAGTCAGGGATTTCCTTTTTTTTTTTTTTTCTTAAGAGGAAAGGGTTTATTTTTGTTCATAGTTTATACTCCATCATAAAGAGAAGTCAGAGGAGGAACCCAAGGCAGGAACTAGAACAGAGACCATACAGGAGCATTTACATACTGGCTTGTTCTCCACACTCAGTTTGCTTTTTAATATTACAACCCAGCACCACGTGCCGAGAGACAGCACCATCCACGGGATTTCCTTTGTTGTTGTTTAGTAATGCTTTCCGGGTATCTCAAATGGTGCCTAGCACCTGGATTAAGTGTTGAATGGATGCATGAACAGCTGAGTGCAGGTGGGCATACACACACTTGGGTAACTGAGTGTGCTGTGATTGTATGTACCCCTTGGTTGATAGAAGGTGGTACCCTGTGGGGCTATAGGAGTTCTTTATGCATGTGTTGATGAGACTCCGTTTTGATGCTTCTAGAGTGCATGTGTGTGTCTGAGCAGGTTGGTGGCCCTGAGCCTCCATGGCTCTTGGTGTATTTCAGAAATGAGTGTGTCTGAGAATGAATATGCTTGCACACATAGGAACATGTTGGGGGTTGTGTATTGAGTTAAGTTAGGATATGTGTCCAATGCTATGAGGCTTTCAATATGGCTGGACATACTCCTTTGTAAGGAGACAGTGTATTGAGGCCACAGAGAAGTGGGAAAAATCTTTTTGTTTATGGGGCTCTTGTGTCTGGAGGTAACTGTGTAGGAATGAGTATACCTGTGACTGTGTCAGGGAAGACTGGGTGTATTTAGTGATTTTGCTTGTTACCCTAACAAATTACCCGACATAGTTTAAAGTGCTGGCAGTTTGTTCCCTGGATCTCGTGGTGGAAGGAAAGAACCAGCTCCTTCCTGTTCCCTCCAGCCTCTGACAGTGTGGGAGCACAGATTTGCTTACGTTTTTGTTTTAGATTTATCTTTGCTATTTTTTGTACAAATGAGTATCATGCGTGTATGTATGACTTCTGGTGCCCATGGAGGTCGGAAGAGAGGGCCAGATCCTCTGAAATTGGAGTTACAGACGGTTGTGAGCCAGCATGTGGGTGGTGGGACCAAACTCAGGTCTTCTGCAAGAGTAACAAGTGGCTGAGTGATCTCTCCAGCCATGTATAATAAAATTTTGTATTTTGAAAGCAACTTGAAGGGGAAACAGTGTATTTTGGCTTGTTGTTTGGGGAAACAGTCTATCGTTGTTGGAATGGTATGTTTGGGGAAACAGTCTATCATTGTTGGAATGGTGTGGTTTGGGGAAACACTATCGTTGTTGGAATGGTGTGGTTTAGGGAAACACTCTACTGTTGTTGGAATGGTGTGGTTTGGGGAAACAGTCTATCATTGTTGGAATGGTGTGGTTTGGGGAAACACTCTACTGTTGTTGGAATGGTGTGGTTTGGGGAAACAGTCTATCATTGTTGGAATGGTGTGGTTTGGGGAAACACTATCATTGTAGGAATGCTGTGGTCTTAGGTATATGAGGCCTCTGTTCACCTGGTGTCAGTCAGGAAACAGAGAGATGGAGGCTGCTGCTCAGCTTGTGTTCAACGTTTTGTTTAGGCTGGGACCCCAGCCCATGGAATGGAGCCACCCAAATTTAGGGTGGATCTTCTCACCTCAGTTAGCACAATCCAGAAACTTCCTCAAAGATTTGTCCAGAGGTTTGTCTCTTATATGATTCTAGATTCTGTCAAGTTGACAGTATTAGCAGAGGTGTCCTGTACTGTGTGGCTCGTGGGTCTGTTTGTGTTGTGGGCGGGAGTGGGCTTTATCCATGGGATCATGAGCAAACCCCTTAGGCCACTGTGTTGGCTATCTTCTCCACTGGCCACTTTCCTCCAGCGGGAGGCTTGAGGGCAGTCAGGCCAGGGACCTGGGGTAAGAGGCTGTTCCCGGCCCAGGGAGGTGGTGCAGATCGACCAGTTCCTGAAGGAGACGGCAGCTCGGGAGGCCAGTGCCAAGCTGCGTCTGCAGCAGTTCATCGAGGAGCTCCTGGAGCGTGCAGACAGGGCAGAGCGCCAGTTGCAGGTCATCAGCAGCAGCTGTGGCAGCACACCCAGTGCCAGCCTGGGCAGAGGAGGTGGGGGCAGTGCCTCGGGGCCTGCGGTGAGAGGCCCCGGCAGAATGGTGAGTGTGTGCCTGCCCTGGCTTCTCATTTGCTCATGTGACCCCCACAGCCTTCCTGCACACTGCCCCAACTTGCCTCCTTTGCCTGTACCCCTAGAAGCAACCCCAGGTCTAAAGTGGGAGGGAGGCACACTTTTGACAGGGCAGCAGTGCTGGCTCTGAGGCTGTGACAAGGCAGCCTTAGTAGCCTCAGCCTTCAGAAGCCCTTCTCTGAGTTTCAGATGAGAGCCTAGAAGTACAAGCTGGGCCCTGGGATGCTGGGTGGGTGGCTTGGGAGGGAATTTGGGAGCCTGCCTGTCTGGACTGTCTTGTCTGTCCATTCGTCCATCTTTCCCAACTGTTTTCTTCTCTCTCCTTTCTTCTCTCCATCTTCCTCTCTGTCCTACAATTGCCTTCTTCTCTGGCCTCCTCTGCCCATCCTTTCTTTCCCTTCCACTCTGGGGGCTGCAGCGAGAACACCATGCAGGCCCAGCTGTGCCAAGCACATACGCCGTGTCACGGCATGGCTCCTCTCCCAGCACAGGGTAAGCCTTGGGCTTGGCCCACCCCTAACAGCCTACCCTCACCCTGGAAGGTCTGCTGGTCCATCAGAGGCTTGTCTCCTTCTGTGCCCACCCCCTTGTCACCAGTGTGGTTTTCCATGCTCGGGAACTTTTGGAAAGCAAGACAGTGGGCTACCCTTGGCTGGTGGTAAGGATGGTGTGGAGAGTTGGGACAGTCTGGTATCCCTCAGCCTTCAGTATGCACTCCCCCACCTACCCCAGGGCCTCCAGCCGTGTGCCAGCTGCATCCCAGAGCTCAGGCTGCTATGACAGTGACAGTCTGGAGCTGCCCCGGCCAGAGGAAGGGCCCTCGGAAGACAGTGGCCCTGGGGGCTTGGGTTCACGGGCCCAGGCTACCAACGGTGGTTCGGAGCGGTCCCAGCCCCCTCGTAGTTCAGGCCTACGACGACAGGCCATCCAGAATTGGCAGCGCCGACCACGCCGTCACAGCACTGAGGGGGAGGAGGGTGACGTCTCAGATGTGGGCTCCCGAACTACTGAGTCAGAGGCTGAAGGACCCTCTGATGTCCCACGCCCTGGACCTGCTGTGGCTGGCCCCTTGAACAGCTGCCGGCTTTCAGGTAAGTCCTGAAAGAGTGCGTAGGGAAGCCAGGCTCTCACTGGGGACACAGGGTGGAGGTGGTGACCCTCCACTCCTATATCTCTCTTCCTCTTGTTTACCTATCAAGTGCCCTTCAAGCCTGGAGCAAGGGTTTAATGTGACAGGGCAGGCCTGCAGTGACCTGAGGCTGCCTCATTTAAGGAGCCTGTGTACATGCTGGGCTCCATCACAGGTAGGGAGAGGAGCTGAGTATTGACTCTTGGCTCTGAAGCACCTGGCACAGAGCAGAGGTTTGAGGGAGTAGCCCTGTACTTATGTGGAAGCCTTAGAGGGTTAGAGTCAGGGTAACCCTTAAAAAGAAAGTTTGGGGCTTTGGGGTGGGGTTCAGTTAATGAAACGCTTATCTAGGTCCATGTGGCCTTAGCTCCAGGCTCCAGCACCTAAAACTGGACACAGTGGTACACACCTGTAATCTTAGCGCTTGGACAACAAATGCAGGAGAATCCGAAATTCAAGGCTATCCTGGGCTTGAGTTCAAGGTTCGGCAGGAATGCATGAGACCCTGTCTACCAAGTTTGGGGCATGAGAGAAAGCAACAGACAACTCCCTTTTCCAATTAGTAAAATTTGGGGTACTGTAAAGAAAAGGAAAGCAGAGGCCCTGTTATCTTCCCGGGGAGCTAGTCTCCAGTGGTGTGGGAGGGCTCATGCTCACCCCTGCAGGACCTTCCCTTCCCCAGCCTACGGTCCTAACTGGTCTTTTACTCTCCATGTCTCCTTTGGCCCTGCTGTTCTCCAGGCCGCCCTGAAGGAGGCAGCAGTCGAGGGCGTCGGGTGGAGAGAGGTAGCCCCTCACGCTCCAATGAGGTCATCAGCCCAGAAATCCTCAAGATGCGTGCTGCTCTCTTCTGTATCTTCACCTACCTGGACACCCGGACACTGTTACACGCTGCAGAGGTCTGCCGGGACTGGCGCTTTGTGGCCCGTCATCCCGCCGTCTGGACGAGAGTGCTGCTTGAGAATGCCCGAGTCTGTTCCAAGGTGCCTGCCCCTGCCCTCCTAGGAGCCCAACTTTGAGCAGCAGAACTGGCCCAAGATCAGTCTTTGTAATCCCTACAGCCCCGGTTCCCCAAGATGCTCTCATGGTGCCTTCTCCTCAGGGCTAACCCATCACCAGCCGGTCAAGTTCAGACCTCTGTTCATATCACTTGATCTTTCCCAGTTCCTGGCGATGTTGGCTCAATGGTGCACCCAGGCTCACTCATTAACATTACAGAACCTGAAGCCCCGGCAGCGGGGAAAGAAGGAAAGCAAGGAGGAGTATGCCCGCAGCACCCGGTGAGGCCTGCAGTTGGTCGGTGGGTCGGTGGGTCGGTGGGTGGGTCAGTGGGTCGGTGGGTGGGTCGGAAATGCAAGACTTCTGTGGGGATGCTTCCCTGGTGAGGAAATGACTACCAGCAATTCCCTGACCTTATTGGTCCTCCCCAGGGGCTGCCTTGAAGCAGGGCTGGAGTCCCTGCTGAAGGCGGCTGGTGGGAACCTGCTCATCCTGCGTATCTCCCACTGCCCCAACATCCTCACTGACCGGTCACTCTGGCTGGCCAGCTGTTACTGCCGTGCCCTGCAGGCTGTCACCTACAGGTGGGTCCTCTCTTCCGGAAGCACAGCTCACCCCTTGTGTGCCTTGGGCTCCAAAGATCCTTGGGTATCACATGGGTACCATGTGGCCTTGCCTCTTAGTGGGGACAGAGGCTACTTGAGCTTCGGCTTTTCCACAGGAGTGCCACAGACCCCGTCGGCCATGAGGTGATCTGGGCCCTAGGTGCAGGCTGCAGAGACATTGTCTCCCTCCAGGTGGCGCCACTTCACCCCTGGTAAGCCTAGGCAAGGGGTTGGCTAAGGAGAGAACATCAGTGGGCCTGATCTGGGGCTGAGGACCGAGCTGTTACTGATGAGTGTAGGAGCTGGGCTGTGATAGAGAACCTGGAGTCTCACTCTGGCTTGCTGGCAGTGCCACTTAAAAATTTATTACATATTTTGGCGGAAGAATAGAGTATGTGTGTGGAGGTCAGGGAACAACTTATAGGTGTCATTCCTTCCACCATGTGAGTCTCTGAGATCAAATTTATGTCATCAGGCTTGGTGGTAAGTGCCTTTACCCACTTAGCCATCCTAACAGCCTGGCATTGCCACTCAGCCCTGTGATTCACAGCACTGATTATGAGAGCTTTTACTACTGGTTCAGTAGCATACTGTCCACAGACACTTTTTAAATATGCATTCAGTCAGCACTATCCTGACACACTACAGGCAGGCCAGGGAAGTCAGTAACAACATAGAAGAAGCTGGGGAGGGTGGCATCATACACCTGTCGTCTCAGCCACTCCATAGCTCAGATGGTGAGTTCAAGACCTCTGTAAACAACTTAGCAAGATTCCATCTCAAAACAAGAACAAATCTATTGTTGGAGAACCCAGGGTGTGGTGAATCGTCCCTTGTTCTACTTGGGACTTCCTTGCATGACCAGGCTTCTCTGTGTGCTGCCCCTTCCCTCCCGGGATCTCTCCAGTGTGCTAGCTCCTCCCACACTATCCCTGCTGGAGTCTGTCCTCATGGTCCCTGCTTGGCTCCCAGTGCCACCCATCCTGACCCTTGATAGTATCTATTCTGTAGTAATTTCTACTTCAGGCTCCTCCGCTAGACTTGGTTCTCAAGGCAAACTCTGCGAATGTTGATTTCTGTGTCTTTGCTGCCATGGGCATATCAGATGACAGAGATACTGATGCCTGAGTGGATGTTGAGGGATGAGGTCTGGAGGGGGTAGGGCAGGTGAGCCGACAATGATAGGGGAAGGCAAGTTGGGAAACGTCATGAAGACTTTGGTAAAGGATGCAGAGTTGCTGGGTTGTGTGGCATACAGCTTTACTCCCTACACTTGGGAAGCAGAGAGGGAGGTAGGTCTCTTGAGTTCGAGGCCAGCCTAGTCTACAAAGTGAGTACCATGTCAACCATAGCTACACAGAGAATCCCCTGTCTCAGGGGATTGCTGGGAGTGAGGGGGATGCAGACCTGTGTATCTCATCTAGAAAGTACTAGGTAGCTATTGAGGAGATTGTCAGTTTTAAGAAACATATTGAGCTAGACATGGTGATACATACCTGTCATCCCAGCTGCTCTTGGGGAGCTGAAGCGAGTGGATCCCTCAGCTTCAGGAATTTGAAGTCATTCAGCCTGGGCTGCATGAGACGCTTTCTTAAAAAATTCTAAACAACAGTAAAAAAAAGTAATAAAGTTATCCAAAGCTAGGTGAGGTCTGTAATCTTAGCACTTGAGGATGAGGCAGGAGAATTGCTACTAATTCAAAGATAGGTGGCAGTGGCAGATAAAGGTCAGATGTTAATGCTGTTGGAGAAGCCAGGGTGTGAGTCTTCCTGTGCTCTTGATGGTGGAGCTGTGTCTTCATTGTCACCCTGCATTCCACAGAGTGGCTCCTCTGGGCTGTAACATACACTTAATGTGGATCTGGTCACCAGGCATGGGGTGAATGGAGACCAGGGTGGGGCTCTGGTCTACAGCTCTGGAATCTGGTCACCAGGTGCAGGGTGAATGGAGACAGGGTGGGACTCTGGTCTACAGCTCTGGGTGGCCCCAGAATCCGAAGCTACCAGATGTAGCAGCAGGGGAAAGGACAGAGTCAGGGATGAGCTATTTTCTGACTTGAAAAGCCAGCTGGGTTGTTGGCAAGGCACTTGCCTGGGGCATGAAAAGACTCCTCGGTGGACTACCACACCCACGGGAGTGCAGTGCCTCCCTGACCACTTCCCACTCTCCGTTCTTCAGCCAGCAGCCTACCCGGTTCAGCAACCGCTGCCTGCAGATGATTGGACGCTGTTGGCCCCACCTCCGGGCCCTGGGCGTAGGTGGTGCAGGCTGTGGGGTACAGGGCCTGGCATCACTTGGTGAGTCTTTCCTTGGGGTCGGAGTATGTAGGTAAGAAGCAGGCAAGAGTGAGATGCTGCCTGCAAAATCCCATGAGGGTTAGGGGATGCAGCCTGGGTGATGGCAAAACTGAGTGCTGGACGGAGGTGGGGGGGGGGTGCAGGCGGTGAAGAGAGTTTGTCACTAGGCCTATCTTCTTCTTCTCCTAGCAAGAAACTGTATGCGGCTGCAGGTCCTGGAACTGGACCATGTGTCAGAGATTACCCAGGAGGTGGCGGCTGAGGTCTGCCGGGAAGGCCTGAAGGGACTGGAGATGCTGGTGCTCACAGCCACCCCTGTCACCCCTAAGGCCCTGCTACATTTCAACAGTGAGCAATGGGGATTTAGGGTTGTAGGGTATGGCTACAGACTATCCCCCGACAGTTTACAGCACTGAGTGAACTCTTCCTGGGGTGATGCAGACAAATGCCTACTCCTCCCAGAAGGGGCATCTGTGATGTACCAAGTAGTGCTACCAGAATCTGGCTGGCTGAACGACGGTGTTTATTGGGCTTACTTACAGAACATGGGTGAGGATTACTTATAGAGTGTGGGTCACCCCAAACAAGCCATTCCACCAAAAAGTCTCAGCACAGATGACAGCTTCCTCATAGCTGCATGGGTGGAGTGTTCTTCATAACTCTGCTGCCTCCAAAGAGCACATGCAGCTGGGGCAGAATTGCACACAGCTGGGAGAGACCGGACAGGGACTGGCTGATAGCCCAGGTGGGGGTCTCTTGGGATAGTCATAGCGTCTCTGATAAGATGGTGTTGGTTGTTATTCTCTTGTACAAGCAGGCAATGTAACTATTTCCTGTAACTCTAACCAGCATGTGCCAGTGCAGGGACAGACAGAGTTTTTGCTTTGGCTTATTTAGTGCATCTGAAGTACTCCAGGCCTGGCAGCATTTAGTGACAACTGTTTAGCTGCACAGAATGGCGTCTGCTCTGTGCTGGCCCACAATGTCACCAAGAGCTGTGTGTGTGGCTCCACTAGTTTGAGTGTGAGGCTCCCACTGGAGTAGAGGCAGAGAGCAGACAGGGTTGTGATACCATTCTTGTACACACGGCTTTGCTTCCTGAGTTCTGCAGTCTCATCTTTTGACTTTTTAGATGGTAGATTAAAGTGTATGTGAGTCCTCAGGGACATTTCTTGGAGATAAGGACTTCACTCTGACTCTTTCTGCTGCCCACGTCATCCCACATCATTCTGTCTGCTCAATCATGTCTGCCTTCACTGTGGACCAACACTCAGGACCAAGTGGCCTCTGGGAGATCACCACGATTTTTCCCCCAGTACTAGGGATTAAGCCACATGCTTTAACTGCTATGTTCCCAGTCTTCACCCCCACCCTACTCCCACCTTTATGAGACAGGGTTTGTCTGTGTAGCCTTGACTGTGCTGGAACTTAGATCAGGCTGGCCTCAAACTCACAGAGACCCATCTGCCTCTGCCTCTACTCCCCGTGCAGACAGTAAAGGTATACACCACCATGCCTGGCCTTTTTGCATTTTTACTTTGAGATAGTCTTACTAAGCTGTCCCAGCAAGCCTTCAACTTGATGATCCTCCTGCCTTGACCTCTTGAGTAGCTAGGGTGACAGCCCTGGGCCATCACTGGTTCACCTCCTGGACCTTCCTGTTACCTTCAGCCTCATGTCTACCTAAATGGCCACCCAGAACTCACTGCCTAGTTCCCCAAATCATGTTTCCAGGCCCCTCCCAGTCCTTGACCTCACTCTGCCTCTCCCTGACATCATGGCTGCTAGGTATTGAAACCTTTGCTTCATTGTCTGATTGCCTCCCACTCACCCCACTCAACACCCAGCCTCAGGTCAACAGCTCTGCCCCTCTTAAGTCATGTCCAAGTGCCCAGGCCATGGCACAGCTGTCACCTCTGCCAGGGAGTTGCTAGGGCAGTGAGCAGCTTACTGTCACACACTTGTCCTCCCAGGATATCTTTACCTGCGGCCTGATCCTCTCGTTCTTGTGGCTGGCCCAGGTGTATTTCTCAGTGGAGCTCTGGTTTCATTCACAAGAGGAAAAGATGTAGCCCACACCCCTGCCTAGCACTATCTCCCTTCCTTGCTTCCCAGGCATCTGCAGGAACCTCAAGTCCATTGTGGTGCAGATTGGGATTGCAGATTACTTCAAAGAGCCCAGCAGTCCCGAGGCCCAGAAGCTGTTTGAGGATATGGTGACAAAGCTCCAGGTGAGAGATGGCTTTTAAGGCAACACACAAGACCCCTTGTCTGAGGCTGGTGAGGGTGGCAGTAGTTTACCTGCCCAACCTAAGGAGAGCTAACCTTGTCTACAGGCCCTGCGACGGAGGCCTGGCTTCTCGAAGATTCTGCACATCAAGGTAGAAGGTGGCTGCTAACCCGGGTGGGGGGCGGCAGGGCACCTGCCAGCCCCACACCAAGTGCTCTTTGGACCTCTGGAGGGGCCCTGGCTTGGACTAGACCTTTGGAGGCCTAGTGTTACTCCAGGTTCCAGACAGTGGTTGAATATCCTGTCCAGTTGGGACAGCAGAGTGACAGGTGACCCAGTTCACTGCCTCCCCAGGACAGAGGCTTGGAAAGAAGCTGCCCTGAGACACCTCTCTCCCTCACATCCCCAGAAGGAAAAGCCTTCTGGCACAACCAGCAAGGAGCTGGCACACCAGCAGCTGGTTGTCACTGCTCAGAGGATCTGCAGTAGCCACCCAGGGGCTCCTCAGCTGCTCAGGCAGGTCTCTCCTTCCTGAGGCCATTTCCTGGTCAGGAGCCTGTCAAGCTACAAGCCAGAGAGGCTTAAGGCAGCTCAGACATGGCAAGGAGGACTCTTTTCCTCTTTCCCTGACCAAGCCCTCTGTAAGGCACTCCCTTTAGACAGAGGGTCTTTCTTCCAGGTCCACATTCTCCAGTGATAATCTAGGCAAGCCTAGGAACCCAGGTACAAGGTTAGCTGAAAGTTGGGGCAGGGCCATAGGGATGAATTTCAAAAGGTAAAATAAAATGTCTAGAATACACCAGGATGAGGCCTATACCTTCCAAGCAGGTAAAGGACTGGCCAGTTGGAGGAGGCTACTTGTAAGATAAAGACTTCTCGTTACCACACTCCAGAGCTAAGCTCAAGCCAGTCTCTCTGTACCACTCCTTGCTGAGGGATCAGAGAGCAGGGGTCCCAGCAAAGCCCTACAGTGAGAAGGGACCTCTGAACCCAGGCATTTTGGCAGAATTCCCAAAGCCTTTCAGGCCCCAAGACCATTGGGAGGGGGGGACCCTGGGCTGCCTGCTTTGCTGGAGTTTGGGGGAGAGGGGCCTTGCTTTACCTAACAGCTTGCTTGAGGAGGCTTTGGCAAGGAGCCAGATCCTGGTGCCAAGGCAGAGGAATAATTTCCACGGTCCATCTTCTCGAGTCTTTACAGTCCTGGGCTGAAACTATAGTAGGAGAATACTTGTGATAGGGTGTCGTTAGCCCTAGCATCGCACCCAAGAAGCCTGGTCACCAAAACCCCACAGACTGAGCATCCCTAACTGAATTCCTCAGACTTGGAGTAGCTGAGGCCGTGAGTCTTGGCAACCCTCATTTGGGCAGCTCTTTCAAATGCCTGGTTTGTCACTTACATCTTAGGGTTTCCTTTACTCCTTTATAAGGTGGGATCCTCTTGCCAGTTTTCTCCAGCTGTGCCACACCCTGGACTGGGCACAAACTCATCTGTAGGTTGCTGCCAAACAAGTCCCTTCCGTTGTTGCACAGCCTCCAGCTTGCTGCTCCCCGATCCTGTAGCTCTGTCCTAGTTTATCATCATCGCTGAGTCGTGTGGCTTGTTCTGTACCTGCTCTTTACAGACTGAAATGCCAAGGCTGTCATGCTGGCTACTCCATCCCTAGTCCTGCATGAAACCTTGGCTGTGTGGTATCTATGCCCCTACCTCTCACAGCTGCCTCCAGCTGCTCCCACCTCCCCAGTCTTGTCCCCAGGAGTCACGGGCAACAGCACAACTTTCATCTTCTTCAGTGGCCCAGAAGGGAGGTGGCAGTGTGCTTGGGCCCCAGCTGCCTTTAGTAGGTCAGTTGTTTTGCCAGCTGCAGCCATGTAGCTCCTGCTCCCTGTGACTCTTAAGGCCAGAGGTGCTGCCCTTCCTGTCTCTTGGATAAAGCACAAAGTAATGTAGTTGGCCAAACCTGCTTCCCAGGGGCTTCCATTTCACAACCCCAGGATTTGGACATCTCCCTGGGCAGGGGAGGCACTAGAATGCCTGGTGTTGGGGAAAATCGATCAGGGTGCACAGCCATCAGGGCAGGAAGCAAGGTCAAGATGCTAGTACCAGGCATTCTGATCCATGGAGAGGGAAACTACCTATAAGTGTTCTTGCTCTGAGTAAAGGTGAGTAAAGTGAAAATTGTAAACCTAAGCCTTTACCAACCTAAGGGACAGGTCACTGTGTCCTGGCTGAGTCTCAGGCATCTTAGTCTTCAGGCATGCTGAGAGCCAGCAGCTCTGTTGCCAAGTTGTGATCCCTTTGCTTTCTCCAAAGGGGACCATCCCTGCTTCTGGGTGCTGTGCTCAGTTCCGTCTTTAGCAGTCACAGAGCCAGTGGGGGATGGGTGGGTGCCTTTCTTTAGCCACTCAAAGGGAAGCCCCCTGTGTCTCATACTAAGGTACAGAAAACTTGTGTGGGCATGCCCTGCTCCAGAAGCACTGGGTCAATGGAGAAGGCTCACAGGTGGCAGTCACTTGTCATCTCTTCCACTCCCATCCCCTGCCAAACAGCCTGGCTCTAGCACTTGTAAGTTGTGGCATGGTTTGGCTTGAATACTTCATGCTTACGCAGGCTGCTTTTCCCCAGTTATGGCAGAAATGTATGCACCCCGCCCAGAACCCCAGCTTTCCACCCATCGAGACAGAGTACCCTAAAATTAGGCTTTTCTTTTTTTAAACCCTATTGACAACAGAGGCTAAGTCAGCCTCAGGAACTGCATCAGAAACCTAACAGGCCTCCTTCCCAAGGCCTGCTGCTCTCTCACCAGCCCTAATCTTGAATGCAGAACACAGGCAATAAGCTGTCAACCCATCTCTGTAAGGCACGATGTTGAAGGAAAATGTCCCAGAGTTGACAGCTGGTGCCAAAGACATAGATAGTTCCTGGTGAACTTGGAGAGGTGAGACTTGAGCGGGACATGGCCCAGTGCCCCATGGAGTTAAGCACTGATGGGGTCTACCCTAGCCACCAGCCTGATAACCTGGCAGTCCTTCTGCCCTTGGTGGCCATGCTTTCTCACCCAGCCTTGGCTCAGGCTAGCATCTCTCTGTGTATATATTACTGTGTAGCGTGTATATTTACTCCTGGACAAGTGAGCCCAGCTGGAGTCCTTGCCCAAGGACAAAGCTTGAGGTTGGGTGAAGAGCAGACGGTTAGGCTTTCCTCAACTCTTTGGGACCTTAGTCCTAAGACTGCCAGACAATCAAGCAGGCACCCCACCAGGAGGCCAGCTCTGGGCCTCTGCCATTACTACAGCCCTGGGGAGGCTTGGCCTGGAATCCTCAAGGCTTTACTCAGTCCTGAGATGGTTCAACAGGGCACAGCTGGCCCCGAGGCCCTGATTCCCTGCACAGCCAGGCTGCAACCTACCCCCATGCACACTAGGCAGAGGGGTAGACTGGAACTTTTGGTTTTAGTTTTGTTTTCTAAAGTGGTGCCTGTACCTCCAGCCCCCAGGGGGCCTTCCCTGGCCCCACTTTTCTGTCCCACCCAGGCATTGCCATCCCAGCACTTTGCTCCATGTCACCCAGATGCCCTTTGCCGAATGTATCTGAGCATATGTATTTAAAAGGACTCATGGGCATCAGAATTTATGGTTCTGTATCCAATAAAAGATGGTGAAACTGAAAAGATGGTGTGTGGCCCAAGGAAATCTGTGGCATGTAGCCAAATCTGTGAGACACCAAACCCTAACCTTTGTTTCTGGTTCTAATGTAGCTCAGACTAGCTTCAAACTCAACACTGAAGATAGTCTTCTTCAGCTTCTGATCCAGTTCTCTGGAACCAGGGAGTACATGTGTGTATCATAGTGTGTGTGATCATGGGAATTGAGCCCAGGATTTTTGCACATGCTAGGAAAGTACCCCATCAACAGACCTCCTCAGGTCGCCTTACAGCTTTTCTGCAGAAAGACACTGAGGTGGGAGGAAGCCAGGCTTTGTTGATTCGATTAATAGCTCCTAACCTGTTTAAACACTCACGTACCAGGTTTCTGGCTTACACTGTTGTACAAGTAATCCTTGAGAGCCAAATGCTTCAAGCTGGTTACAAATCCTGTCTTAAGGCCATCTAACCATGACTGCAGGGCTCTGATCACTTCCCACAAGTTTTGGGAGCAAGAATTTCAATTCTTCAAAATGACCTCTCCAGCTCTAATAACTCAAGCTACAGCTCTCCTTGGGGCAGCTAGCAGAACTGAGGCACTGGTAAATCCCGCCAGTCTTCTGTGCTGACAACTGCCCCTGGTCTGAAGAAAGCAGGAGCTGGGATGGTGGCAGGCACAAGTCAGTTGTCCCAGCTTACTCAGGAGACAAAGTAGGACAAAGCCAGCTTGGGCAATTTAGTGAAACCCTAAGAGCAGAAAGACTGATCAAAGTAAAATAGGGCTGGGAATGCAGCGATGTGGCAAGTGGTTGCCTAGCAAATGTCGAGAAGCCCTGGGTTCAATCCACAGGGATTTAAAGAGGTTTAAACATGATGTGACACTTTCCTTTGCTTTCACTTAAAAACACTGCAAGAGGAAACGTACCTGAGCTCGGAGAACATGAAGGGTGGGCAGAGCAGATGGGATGCACTCTAACTATGATCACAACAGTGCTGTGTGATGGTAATACTGCCACCACTTTGCCACTGCGGCTTCCAGACAAGGCCACCACAGCAGTGCAGGCAGCAGGCCAATACAATTCTTTATTTCTGTTTCCAAGTATTCACAACTCAAACTCTTAGGCAGGGAAATGTTTATGAAAAAAAAAAAACTCTTGACCAAATAACCTTACGTTTTATTTAAATAACCTCCAGTGAGAACACAGCCTACTAATAAACCATTTTCTCACCCCATTCACCTCACAAGGAGGTATAAGACTGCCTCTCAATGGAAGCGGCCCTGGCCTCTCCCTCGGCCAGCTGCTGGAGCTGGAGCATCCACTGTGGAGCGGGGGTTCTTGATAGTCTCATCCACCGACACAATAAGGCACGCGGCCTCAGAAGCTGCTGTCAGAGCGTTGATACGCACCATGGCTGGCTCCCACACAAATGCCTGGAAGTTGTCAGCGATGTCCTCATTGTTGATGTCCACCCCATACCACATGCCCCCCTGAAAGAGAGGAGAGGCACCGTGGCACATTTATTCCTGCACCTTCTAAAGGATTTCAGGAACCTGACTCGATAGCACTTTCTCAAGAGAAATGGCCTAAGACACACAGCATACCTTTCCCTACTTGACCCCAGCCAATACCTGCTTCCAACTCTGGGCATGCTGACCACAAGTACCCAAGCCCTCCCCGGAAGCTGCTGTTTCCAGGACTGGCACTATGGCAGGAGGCAGTTGCCCACTGTACCCAGTAGTGACTATTTCCGGTAGGCACAGCACATACCCACCCTACCTCACCCACCCAATCCCTGAGTCCCAGAGAGTGTGACTACCTGTGCATGTCGAGCCCGCAGCTTGTTGAGGATGTTTGTGGCATCAAAGCCAGCATTGTCACATAGCTGTCGTGGAATAATCTCCAGGGCCTTGGCATAGGCCCCAATCAGCAGCTGCTGCTTCCCTGGGATGGTCCTTGAGTAATCCCGCAAGTATTTGGAGAGCTCCATTTCAATGGCTCCACCACCAACCACCACAGAGTCATTCTACAGAAACCAAGCACATCTCAATGCATCTCAATGCAGTGGCCCAGCTCAAGGCTTCAAGTTGGGCCACAAAGCAAGTCTTCCAGCCCAGAAAAGTAAATATTCAATTGTTATGTCTCCCTTCGGGAACCTAAACACAGCGAGCATGAAGCACATCCCAGCTTCAACCCTGGGTATTTTAAGGTCACTGTCAAGGTCAGCCATAGCTTGGGGGTGGTGACTTCGGGAAGACAGCTAAATAGAACAGCTCAATTTGTTGCCTGAACAAATGTGAGGCTGAAGTGATTTGGGGGGCAAAGAAGACCTAATTTCTGGTATACAGGAGGAAATCAAAGCCCAACATGCCACCAAGGAAAGGACAGGTTACATGAAATCCAATCTTATCAGCTCCAGGATTAGGGCTGATTAGGGGACTGTCAAGGCAAAAGTCTGTCATCCCAGTACCTTGATGGCCCTCCTCACAATCATGATGGCATCATGTAGGGACCTCTCTGTCTCCTCCATAAACTGCTCAGCGCCACCACGGAGGATGATGGTACATGTCTTGGCCTTTGGACAGCCAGTGAAGAAATTGTACCTATGTCGAGGACACAATGGTACACACATCAATTGCCTCCCCCTTGCTATTTGAGCTCCTGCCAAGCATTCTCAAGAGGGAGAAGTTCCTGCTCACTCAGGCTGTCAATCCTAACTTTAAAAGGTAAGTTCTTCAGGCAGGACTGCTGTGGTATCACCGGAGCATCAAAGCTTGTGGGATCAGAGCCAAGATCCAACTACAATTTCTCCCCTTCTGTAACAGTGTCCCTGAGCTCTTTACTCCCCACACCCCAACAATACCATCTTGAAAAAGGAACAGTACAAGCTATATACCACACCCAAAACATGACCAAAAGAGAGCTCAGAAGACCCAAGCAGTTCTTGGGAACTGAAACCATAGGCTCACCGCTCCCCTCCAATTTGAGTCTCTTCAAACACCTGGCAGCGGCCAAGCACATCCTGACTCAGAGCATTCACACTGGTCTGGATTGAGCCTCCACAAGCCTGGGGAGCAAGGAAACCATTAGCAGGACCAGTTGACCTCCCGCCACCCAGTCTCCAAGCTGAATCTGCCATAGAACCTTAGAGCCCTCTGCATAGGATAGCCCACCTTTACCTTGACCTCTAGATAACCCCTACTAACACTCAAAAAGATGACAATCAAAACAGAACACACACACAAAGGCCAAAAGACCTATGTCTAGTGCTCTGGGCCCAGCAACTCTACTTAGGAGCAGTTCTTTAGACTACAGGTTCAAACCAAGAAGGAAAGCCCTGGTTGGAAGCAATACACACTGAGCCTAACCTGCTGGAGGCTGTGCACTACCCACTCCCTGACCTGTCTTGGACAGTGAATTCAAAGGAGTTTCTATTACTGGGCATACAGACACTGGGTTGGAGCATTTCTTGACAGTTAACACAGGGACAACTTGATAGTCTATTCCATTACATCAGGGACAGAGGAAAAAGTTCAGAGCCATGAAGGATAAGCAGCAGTCCAAGAAGGTTTCTTACCATCATTGTCCTCTTCAGATCCTCCTCAGGCACTCGGCCAGCACAGAACATGTCCCTATCAGCAAAGTACTGGGTGGCCACATCCCCAATAGGGAGTTTAGACAAGATGACTTTGGCTCCTGACTGATGGATCTTCTCTAACTTGTCATAGAGAATGTTCCACTCAGCGTCAACAATTGCCTGGTAATCCTAGAGACCCACAAGAAGATGAGGGTGGTTGGAATGGAGGTGGGTATATACGACAGGCTAACCCAACCCCTCCCGTGAACAAAAACATGCTGATTTATCAGGGAATGGGCCAACAGTCCAAATACACAAGGACCTTAACACTTTCAAACACAAACATACTAAGTAACCTCAAGGAAGGAGCTTTGCCAGAATTTGTGGCACTGCTGAGGTATGGAGAATAGTTTAGTCTCTTCTGAAAGCTGTGCCTAGGATTTTCCAATAAGACCTCTCCTATCACAAAAGCCATTCTATGCTGGGAGACACTGCTACCTAGAGGCAGCCTTGGGAACCACAACAGTAGGAAGAAAGTCCCTGAGACTAACCTGTCTAACCAAAACCATCGTAAGCTTGTCATCCCAGATACTCAGGACTGAGGCAGGAGATTCAAGGCCAGCCTGAGAAACTTAAAACTTCATCTCAAAATAAACATTTTTAAAAGGCCTGGCAAGCCAGGCATAGTGGCACATGGCTTTAATCCCAGCATTCAGGAGGGAGAGGCAGGCAGATCTCCATAAAAGAATCCACCAACAGCCAGGGCTACAGAAAAACCTTGTCTCAAAAAACTAGTTAAAAAGGAGCTAGGGACAGGGGGGTATATAGCTCAGTAGCAGAGCCCTACTTGATGTATGTGAGTTTTAGGTCCAATTACCATTACTATGGAGAAAAGAAAACAAAATAAAAACTTCAGGTGTTGTAGGGCCCATCCCCAAGAGGTAGAGAGCACAGTCAGTCACTCAATAACTTTTCACATTCAAATTACCCCACGTGGAAGTCATTTAAGCAGAAAAAAGAGAAAAAATTAGTGGACCAAGATAGCAGACTTGGAAGTGTCCACAGGAACCTCAGAAACAGCTGCCTAGAGACTAGAACCCTCACCCAGAAAGCAACCCACCTCCCCATCCTTGCTGGGGGAGCCTACCTCCACTGTGTGGACTCTGATTTCAGCATTGTCTTTCTCTGCTTTCAGCTCTAGTTCAACATTTAAGAGGGCAATCTTGGGGTTCTTATACTTTTTGGGCTGCATTTCAAACCCAGCATAGGAGAAAGTCTTCTTGAATGCAACACCAGCCACCAGCTGAGACTCCTGGTTAAAGCAGACAGACCAATGGTTTGGTTACAGCCAGAAATCCAATCAGTCCATGAACCCAAGAGTGAACCTCACTTGCCACTGCTGTGACAGCCTCATCATCACCATCACAAAATTTGGGACAAACCCATCTTTT